CAAAAAACTTATGACGAAAGCAGTTTCATCTGCAACTCGATCTGAAAATCCACCTTCCGTTCCTGGTTTTGCGTGACAACGTCGCGCAGCTACTTATTTGACTAATCATTTATGAGAATAGCTTCGAAATTCGAGCAGTGATAGCTAAGGCATTAATTTTTTAAAAAATTTCAATCTGCATGATTTCTATTGATGGTGGCCATATACTTAGCTATATGCACTGCGCATGTTGTGCGACAAATTTTTTGCACCATATTTCTTCCATTTCCGAAGTCCGATTGAAGAGATTTTTATAAATTGTTCCTTTCACAATAAATCTACTTATTGAATGCGAAGCATCCAATAACTATATATTATCAAAAAAATGTCATCAGACAATTCATATCGATATACCATGTACGTAAATATTTTGTGTATTTACTATGCCGCTACGATGCTGCCCATTTAGTAGGCAACACTTTCATAAACACCTTATTTCATTGAAATTACAAAAAATCATTTTACAGACAAGTACATTTTCATAAAAATTTTATTATACCGACAGCTCATTTCACTAGTCATAGTCATTGGGATTAAGTGCAATTTATAGAAACTGTGAAACGTCTACGAAATGGTCTGTCGGCAAAATATTAATTAGTTGTCTATGGGATAAACTTGCCATAAATGAATTATCAGCAAAATAAAGTGCTTATAAGTGTTTGTTGGTGAAACGATACGGATTGCGCCATAATTATATCGTTCATTGATTATCTACATTATTTACAAAGAGATTCAGAAAACGACGAATACAATGTTATGTATGATCATTATGCTGTAGAAATTATACCTAGGCTGTATTTGGGAAGGTTGTAAAAAAAATTCTTTTTATTTATGTTAAGCTGAATTTAAAATTAACCTGTGATTTCTTTATTGAGTACAGTTATTTAGCAGCCGAAGACGAAGATTGGTTGGGACGTCATAAAATTACAAATATTCTTACTGTTTCTCAAGATATTAAACCTCGTTTTCCTGAAGTATTTACCTATTGTTGTTATTTGTTTTTTTTTTTTAATTTTGTCAGGAATATTATTGTTTAAAGTTTACTTTGGAATAGTTATTCACGTATAAAGTGATCCCAATAAGAGATAGCGAATTACAAGATATCTCAAAGTATTTTGAAGAAACTTATATGTTTATTCAAAATGTTTTAGATCAAGAAGATAAAACTATTCTTGTTCATTGGTACGTCAAACTTACTATCAGATTTTTCTAGAATTATTTGTAGTAACATATGTTTATCTAATAGCGAAATGGGAATTTCACGTAGCCCAACTGGTACGTACTTAATTGTTAAGTTAATCAAGTAAAATTTTAATATGTTCAACTTTATCTTCACTTTTTTTCCAAAAAAAGTGGTTATTGCTTATATTATGAGATCTCAGAAGAAATCGTTAAAGGATGCACTAGCATTTGTTAAAGAAAAAAGATTTGTTACTCGGTTAGTAACTAATAAGTTTATATTTGAACAATTTGTATATAGCATAATTACTAGATTTAACTTTCCCTATTTATTGTAGACCAAACGCAGGTTTTTATGAGCAACTAAAAAAATTCGAATCAGAATTATCACTTAATAACGATAATGATGCAGATCAAATCTGAACTAATGAATCAAATAGGTAGAAATATTCTAATTTGCGTAGATTAGTGGCGATTAGATTAGTTGTCGTATCTTTTTATTTTATTTTATTGTTTAAATTGTAGAGATATATTTAAATGTTTATTATAGTTCAATTTATCTAAAATCTTGCATGAGCATATAGGACAATTTGTGAAAATCGATCAATATGTACTGTACTATCTGATTTCATATTCTAATTTGCAGTGGCAATCACAATCACTTCACTGACAGCTTAGTTCACCGAAACTAATTCACCGATAAATCCATTTCACCGACAGCTCATTTCACAGACGGTCATTATCGTTAGGTTCAAGCCCGAATTAGAGTTTAGTGTAATTTATAAAGCTTGTTGGTGAATTAATTAATTGTCGGTGAAATGAACTTGTCGATGAATTAATCGTCGGTGAATTAACTGTCGGTAAACTAAGCTGTCGGTGAAATAATACGTTTCCCTAATTTGTGCTAGTTGTATAGGTCTCTACAATCCTTCATGTCCGGTTATTTTTTGTCCGTTAATCTTGCAATGGTTGTGAGGTATAAAGAAATCATGTAAAAAAAATCAATCGAAATATAAAGAATTAAGTATATTTTATATAACAATATTATAACGAAGTTACTAAAATAACTACCAAAAATTTTGCATGATATAGATTAATATTTCATACTATTTAGTTCGATGTAAAATCCATAAGTGGTATGTAAAGAAAGCAAGAAATTTTAAGCGAACCAATTTTTAAATTATTATTTTATTAATACAGTCAGATCTCGCTATAGTCACTCTTAGTATAATCACAACCTTGTTATAGTCAATTTTTTAGCCTTAACTATTATACATAAAATATATAAATTTTGATCTTTATTGTAACCGTATCTATTAAGGGTAGATAGGTTGTAGACAATGTTTTTACACGCAAACTAGCCAATTCTGGATTTATTTATTTATTAAGAAGAATTGCAAGTGAAGGCCCCTCTAACTTTCATTTTCTTTATATATTTATATTGCATATTACAATACATAACTACTACGATTCCTAATAACTCAATGTTCACCCATTTCAACGTGATTCCGATCTTACAACACAATCACGTGATGTACGATCGTTCCGACATGTTCGTTACACAGCACATGCGTCGTGCAACGTGGTTCAATGATTCCCTACATTTATAAAGTCACAACTTTTTATAATCAAATTTTTGTTTCTGACGTGGTGATTATATCAAGGTCTAACCGCATAATCATAACATTTTTTATGTGTATTTCAGTATGACGCATTAATGATAAAACTAATCTAAGTACCTCAGAATCAAAATTTAATATTACGCAACTCAATTTTAAATTATTTTTAGTAATTTTTTTAAATTAAATTTTATAAAAATTCTACAATTTTATAGAATTAAAATAATAAAAAACATTATATTTGGGTTGATATAAAGTCGAAAAAAGATTTTATCTAGAAAAAATTTGGCACTATTGATTCTCCGTATGTAATTATTATATAGCTCAAAATTATAATGGTTAGCTTAAATGATATAATAATTTATAATTTATTCGGATTATTCGGATTAATTAAGGATCACTTTTCAATCATAAACCTAGCGGTAAAACCATCCGTACGTGCAACTACTAGTTATAGAATAAAAAAATATACTTAACTATATGCAACACAAAGAACAATAGAAGCAAAAATGTTAATGCACTGCGCATGTTGTGTGACAAGTTTTTTGCGTATTTCTATTTCCATTTCCGAAGTCCGATAGAAGTGATTTTATGAATTATTTCGTTCACAAAAAATTCTTTTCATAAAAAAAAAATGTCAGACAATTCATATACCATGTGCGTAAATATTTTATCATATATTTTGCATATTCACTATGCAAATGCGGCACTGCTCACTTCTTAGACAACTACTAAATAGACACTTTATTTCACTGCCAATTAGTTTATAGTCAAGTTTATTTTATAGACAATCAATCCACAGACAAGTTCATTTTCATAAACATTTAATTTTGTTAACAGCCCACTTCACAAAGCAATTCTAGTCATTGTCATTAGGATTGTTTAGAACTAACGTCAACATTAGTGCAAATTATATGAAAATGTGAGCTGTCAATAAAAAAAAAAAATTATGAAATGAGCTGTCGGTGAAATAAACTCATAAAATAAATTTATCTGCTGTGAATTAATTGTTGGTAAAATAAAATGCCTATGAAGTGATTGTTGGAGAAATGATATGGATTGCGCTATAATCCTGTCATTTATTGGCTACTTTCATTATTATTATAAAGGGATTTTGAAAACGAAGACTATGTTATGCATTTGTCATCCAAAAATTTGACAAATGGCGTTAAACCTTACGAATCGAAAGTTAGGTTTAATGAAGATTTTGCCGTAGAAATTATACCTAGACTGTATTTGGGAAGGTTGTAAAGATTTTTTGTTTATGTTAAAGTAATGTTTAAAGTTAATTCGTGATTTATTTATTGAGTATAGTTATAAAGCAGCTAAAAACGAGGATTGGTTGAGGAATCATAAAATTACAGATATTCTTACTGTTGCCCAAAATATTAGGCCTCGTTTTCCTAAAGTACTTTACCTAATGTTGGTTTTTTTGTTTAATTTTATCAGGAATATTAATAGCTCAAAAGTTTATTTTGAACTAGTCATTCACGTATAAAGTTATCTCAATAAGAGATAGCGAAGTACAAGACATATCAAAGTATTTTGAAGAAACTTATATGTTCATTCAAAATGTTTTAGATCAAGAAGATAAAAGTGTTCTTGTTCATTGGTACGTCAAATTTTACTATCAGATTTTTCTAGAATTATTTGTAGTAACATACGTTTATCTAATAGCGAAATGGGAATTTCACGTAGCCCAACTGGTACGTACTTAATTGTTAAGTTAATCAAGTAAAATTTTAATATGTTCAACTTTATCTTCACTTTTTTTCCAAAAAAAGTGGTTATTGCTTATATTATGAGATCTCAGAAGAAATCGTTAAAGGATGCACTAGCATTTGTTAAAGAAAAAAGATTTGTTACTCGGTTAGTAGCGAATAAGTTTATATTTGAAACATTTGTATATAGCATAATTACTAGATTTAACTTTCCCTTTTTATTGTAGACCAAACGCAGGTTTTTATAAGCAACTAAAAAATTTTGAATCAGGATTATTGGTTGACATCGATTTAGATTCGGAATCAGAATTAACGAACAAATAGGCATTTTATTAGTTGTACCAAATTAGTTGGCGTATATTTTTATTTAATTTTACTTGATTTTTTAAAATTTTATAGATCGTTGATTATGCTTTATATCTATTTTTCTAAAATGTAAACAAACCTGGAGCTAAATTTAATATCCATTCTCTTTTATAAAGTTACATTGATTAAAAAATTTGTATTTGTTACACAATGAACTATTAGAAAAATCATTATAGCTTCAATTAATCGTAATGATTGAATAACAACGAAGTATTCAAATTAAATAAACTTATTAATTTATATATATATACATAATAGTTAAAATACTATAACTGATAATTTACTATAATTATTTTAGTATATATATATATATATTATAATGTCAATCATAGCTTATATTTTATTAGTTTTTTTGCATTACTATTACATATAGTTATATTATGTTTGTGTTATTAAATTATTTTTTGCTCTAGATATCTAATGTAACATTATATTTATATTTATATATATATATTTTTGTATATATTACAACATTGTTACTAAATTACTGATAAGTTTGTAGTTATCTTGTTGTATTCTAATTTCATGTTACTTCTATCCTAACTGCAGTTCAGCTGTCTACTATCTGTTGTAATGTTTCTTTTTCTCAAATTGGTTAACTTCTGTGGTTACTTGTTTTTGTTGTTACTAATATATTTCTTAATATCCTGTTGATACAATTGAACTTATCAATCTGCAATTTACTACATATTCTTTTTTAATTATACTTGCATAGTAGTTTGTTTATAATTTGATCACATATGTTTTCTGCAGGTTTTTGTGAATATATTACTAATCATATATTGATATACTATCAGTTTGTATAGCAAGAAGAACTAGAACCTTGATTTATTATATATAGAGATGATGATCATCATCTGAGTTATAATATACAACTACTTCAAATATTATTTTCATAGTACTGTTATTAATACCTCTTTAATATATTTTATTTTTAATTAAACCAATTATTTGTTATAGATCTTTTTTGCATGCATTATATTACTTACTATTTTAGTTTTTACTACTATTTTATATTACTTTCTCAATCAAGTATTTTGCAAATTAGATACAAAATATTGATACTGTTCTGTTTTCTAAAAACTTATTTACATAATAATACCATGTAGTCAAATCTTATGTACTGTTATTACCATATATAATATCTTCTTTTTATAGAGTTGATCTTCTTTTAGAAATTTTTAATTTATTTTTGTACTTTATCTTGAACTTTTTACAAAATTTTATATCAAATTTAGTTCTTATTTTTGAATTACAGAACTAAAATCTTAGAATTTTTGCTTTTAATCTAACTCAAACTATTGATCTAGTTTATAAAGTTAGTAGTTTTTACTATTAACCTATAAGACCCAAACTTAGTTTTTATATATTAATTAACTCTTATATACATATATATATTAAAAACAAATCAAATAGTGAAATAACTGCTTCACAATCTAAATCCTTATATAACCTATAGTAACTTAGTTAAAAAGAGATATTTAGATTTAATTAATAGTTTGGGTTTATAAATAAATATTTTTTTTACTTGTTTTAAAATTTTCTTTTTTAAGCTTTCTACTAACTTTATTTTTAATTATCTTACTATTTTGAATAATTGAATAATATATATAACTTCAACTGTTTTCAGTTTTTTAAAGATAATAAAATAATATAATTACAGCTAATTCAAGTACTTTAAAATACAATAATTTAACAGAAATGTAACAATTATTTCATATAAGAACAGATAATTATAAGAATTAGTTTTTATAATTAGAAATTAAGTAATTATTTAATATAACAAAAGAGATATTTTTGTATTTTTAATTATATAAAAACTTAGTTTGAAATGTTTTTTTTTAAAGTTATTATAACTTTTATTTATTATATAATTTTTTTTTTATATTTAACATTTTATATTTATTACTTTTATTTATTATTTTTAATTTTTACTTACTTTATATAACCTTTGTACATTATATATTAAAGTAGCTAAAATAGAAAAAGTCTGGGTCCTATAGCTTAGTAGATAAGCTCCTAGATCTACCACAGACAAGGTCAACAGTTCAAGTTCAACTGAAGGCAAAATATACTCTGTAATCTAATTAGAAGCCTATAACTAAACACAAAACTCTGCAATATAAATTCATATGAATATCTGTTTGAATTAGGAATTTTGGAAGAAGATCAACCTGTAGAGTGCAGACATTATACTTAGTAAGAGAAGTGATGAACACAGAAAGACCTGTAAAAAAGGATTGATCTTACTAATTGAAGAACATCTCTGGCAAAAAAATCTATAACAGATGTAGTTGTGAGATCTACCTCTGTTTTAATAGAGATTATCTTACAGATAAAGTAGCCTGAAGGCCTAATGTATATCAAATTAAGTTTGATGTTACAGAAAAAATATCAAAAAATCAGAGACTTTAAATAGAAAACCATAGGCAGGTTTCAGGTATGACAATTAGCTAATAACTTGTAAGCAGAACCTTTAAATAGACAATAACTAAAATTGTACATGTGACTAATTGCAGCCTTGTTGATATGCAAAATGTAATACCCTTCTACATAAGTAATAAGTAAACATTATTCTTAATAAAATTTACAAAGCCATAGAGATTTCTCTTTAAAATCAAAAAAAAGTAGCTAAAATAGGTCAATTATTCTAATTTGAAGTAATTATAATTACTTGTTATATACTTCTTTAGATAACAATATATACATTTAAGTCTAAATAATTTTTATCTTACTTTGAACTTTATATTTAATTTTATAAGTTAAATTAATTAATAATGCTTAAATCAAAACTATACTATACAAAATTAGCTAATTGAAAACAACAATACAATATACCTACTTAATTTATATGCACTCAAATAAATATACATAGTAATCTAATAATACAAAATTCATACAATATCCTAGATTACTATATGCTTACAATTATATTTGTAACTTGGCAGACTAATAACATATAAAAGATAATACAATATTTGTCTACCTATAAAAATAACAAAAAAGAAAACATTCATTAAGATATCTAAATGAATTAAATATAGTATTCTAATTAATAATATAATTAATTATCAAATTAGTAATATTTTAATTAACAAAATCTAAGTAAGCTTTAACCACTCTAGTAGTTTAGATTGTAAATAAATTGGATTTACTAGATAGTTTTATTATATCTATAGTCTGAGTCTTATTCTTGTAAACAATTTGTAAACTTAACCTTTGGTCAAAGAAATTTTTTGTAAATTCTTAATGCAAATTATAATAAAGATAAAGACAAAAAACCTTATCTTAAAAAAAAACAATAATAATGCTTGAATCATTTTTTAAATACTTATTATATTATTGAAAAATTTTTCAATAATTTTGAATAAGTTTTTATTAATAATTAAAATTTTATTTTTAATATTATAATATATTTGTATAAGCATATATATTTTTTATTAAATTGAAGTTTTTGTATATTCTCTTAAAAGTAAATTCACAATATCAAACTTTGAATATTAAAAATAATTACATTTCAGATTTGATCTTTTTTTTTGAATTCTTAATATATTATAATATTTTTTAATGGTTTACTTCATAAATAAACATACAAGTTTTTAATAAAGTTTATTAGTTTGCTAATTTGTTAGTAAATATATTGAAATTAACAAATATTAAATGATAAATTATGTGTAATAACTAAAATAGAATTAATAGCTGTAAAATGGTAAAGTGATGAATTTTCTTGATCATATGATTAATAAAAAGACTGAGAATAATAACATATTAAAAAAAATATAATTTTCATAATTATATTTAAATAAAAGTAATTAAATTTTATTATTGAACTTTGATATTGCTTTATCTAAAGAATTAATATAAACCAAGTAACAAAAAATTACTATTGCTACAATATCAAATTATTTGTAAAATTAATAAAAAAATATTACAAATTGCTGGAACCAAAATTTTAGAAACTAATAATTTAGGTGCAATGATAAAGTAAAGATTGTTCAACTGATCGCAATCATTATTTAAATTGATTATAGTGTTTATGCGTCATCGCCATCACTAAGCAATCACATAAAGAAAGGTGCTTGATAATGGCCTTACTAAGCTAATTTTTTTAAATGAACGAGAATTAGATATTATTTTTGATTATGGAGTTCTACAGCTCTAATGAAACCTTCTATATGGTTTTTTTTTTTACTTATTATAGTTTGTTTGCATTTTTTTAAAAAGTACTCTAAACTTATAAATAAAATAAAATTAAATTGAATTTATTAGCCACTTCTATGACCTCTAACGTGTGTTAATAGGTTTTTTATGTACATCATCATGATGATACTCTGTGTAGTTTAAGGATAGGGTATTGCTAATAGGTTATGTTTAAAAAGAAAGAATTTTCAATAGTATGCAAAAGGCGGTTTCATAGGTAAAATTGCAAGTTATGGCCGATGTTTTGATTGTTTTGTTTCTTGAACTTTTCATGTTAGACCTGATCTCGAAGTTTGATTGTTTAGGAAATTTTTAGATGGTATTTTAAATGCATATAGCAATTAGTAAATGTTATATAGACGACTTCACCTCCTATATCGTATTGTTAATATAGAATTGGATGATGCTAAAGTCTAGACTTATTTTAATATGGAAATTAAAAAAGTATTTATATATTTAAATCGTTTGTTTTTGGCTTTTTTTTTTTGAGTTGAGTTAAAATTTAGGGACAGATTGTTATGTAAAAATGTAATGCTTATTGAATTTTTTCTTAAATTTCCCTTTTTTAGTACTCTCTGGTCTGACATATTATTGAATAGCTCAGAACCTGGCATAACTTAGAGTTTGGACTCAAATTGAATTATTGAAGTGAGCTAAATGGGTAGTACCTGGATCATACGAATCAAGAACAGTACAGTACTAAAAATGACGGGTTTTTATTACCAATATCGCAATATTCCTTTAAAATTTGTATTAAGAATAAGTAGCTCAATATAACATGAAACTAAGCATATTTTCGTACAAATAAAATTGTCTCTTTCACAAATTAATTATACACTTTTGAATTATTAAACAATTTAAGTGGAGCAAAATTTTGGGGTTTTTAGATAACATAATTTAGTGTTGAAAGTTTTTTGGTTTAAGCTTAAATAAAGTTAATTCTTTGCATAACGTGCAGTATATTAATCAAAAATATAATGAAAATCATAGGTTTAACTAAATGATTAGGAATCATGAAATGAATTTTGCAGCTTGAAGCCATAATAGGCTAGGATCATATATGCATTTATCATCATAATATAATCTATAGTTTGCAGGCCGATACATAAATTCAGATATCAAATTTGGAAATTCAATACTATAAGCTTCAGAGAATGAGAGTCCAAAGGAATACATTGTAATGTTCAAATTTTTAGGTATTTTAGGGTGATCAGTTGTAGTGTTAATAATTTGATTAATTTCATTAAAAAGATTATCAATCAATACAACATTTCCACCAGGAAATGAACTATATGACATGTTACTATTAAATAAACCTCCAACCGAAACAGTAGCAATTTTAGCCTGTTCTGATAGATATTGAGCAGTTTGCGCACATGAGGATCCACAAGCACCATTAGTAAGTATAATAATATCTTTATTAGTCCATGGAAATTTCCAATTTGCAAAGAAAGTAATATCGAATATTTCATTGAATAAACTAGAATATTTGGTAGTTATACTACCTCTCATAAATGATTTGTTGCCAATAAACTCATCTAAATTATTGAATGGAACACCAGTAGTGTAAGATAGTTCTAATTTAGGCGAAAAATTCGGCAATTGAAGATTTAGATTATCAGATTGTTTGAGGAGGAATGTTGTGACATCATTAATTTTCATGTCACGAGGAAATGCTACTCTACTTTGAGGGAAGATTAGTTCATTAAAATATTGTGAAAGCAATATATAACCACCTCCATTATTAATAAAATCAAAAACCACCTATGGTAATAATATTAATTGAAATATTATTAACATGACTTATATAATTTTTTTGATTTTATGATAGAACTATTTGCATACCTTTTTTACACCAGATTTATTCATTAAATCAAATAGAGTTGTAAGCTGAGTTAAAAGGCTGTTACTATTAACAAAAAAACTTTCAGGTTCAAAAGTAGGGATCACTACTACACCAGTTTCATTAAGTTTAATGAAAGTTGCAAAATTACTAACATTTCCAATTATATCACCGGTAATTGTTATTTCAGAGTTTTCTAATTTTAAATAACTAGTTGGTAGCCCAAATAAATCACCTTTAAAGTTGTTAGTTGGTACTATTTTTGGCTTAAGGCAGATTGATTCATAATAACTTTTAGAATCTGTAAAATTATAAAAGTCTTTGATCTTTTTATTCAAATTTTCATTATGCGTAATAATCCAAGATCTTTTTATTTTTTTGATAGTATTAGAACAGTTGAGATCATAGGCAATATTTTCAGCATCTGGAAATCGTGAGTTATACGCAAAATCACCATCATATATATCAAAGGTACCATTATTACTATTCTTTAACTTAAGGGAAGTCAACGCCATATTAAATCTTACACCAGGATCACGAGATTTTCTAATATACTTATCAGCATAATTAATAATTGCCTTTAAGGCAGGATAACCGTCAATGTGCGTAACTTCACACCCATTATTTGAAGGATCTTGATTATCAGAATATACTTTGATAGCCTATAATTATTAAATACTAATTAATAATGTTTTTAATTATAAATATTTTATTTTTTTGTATTTGATCATTTTACCTGATAACCATTAGTATCTACTGATGAATAAAGTCGAATAGTTTGTCTAAATGTAAATGCATTATAACAGGAAGGTTTAAAAGTAGTATGTGCATCTTTGAGATCAACGATAATTTGAGTAATGTTGGACTGTTATATTGTTATATTGTTGGACATAAGAATACGTAATTATATTTAAAATTATTAAAATTAATAATAACATTAGCAAAAGTTATAAGTAACTAATAAACATTACTTACAAAGAATTCAAACTCATTATTATAATTTTTGTTTAGTAATGCATCAAGTTCGGCAATCAAATCAATAGGTGTAAAACTAAAACCATCCTGTGCTTTTTCCTTTGATTGATCCAAATACACGAAGAAATTATTATATATTCCTTTGAGTGATTCTATGGTCTATTTTTTTTATTAGTAATGATGTTAAAATAAACCCATTAATGCATTGTCTTATAAATTTGAGAAAACGTTTTTACTTCGTTGGCTTGTTTAAAATCAAAAGGAAATCCAAAGTAACAATCTTTAACATCTTTATATTTTATGTCTACAGTGTCATCATAATTAGCTTTTATGGATGCTACATAACTTTCATAGATTCTAGAACACCCATCAGGATTATTATACACTGATTCGCTTTTTTTTTGGAGTAAAATTAGTAAACTTGCAAGTGAAAGGGATCCAACGACTATGATTACTATTATTATTAATATAACAGCTTTTATATTATGTAAAATTTCATTCTTATTCTGCTTTTGAAAGCTTTTAAAATTTAATATTTTCATATTGTTTTTATAGAAAATAAAATCAAAATTCTGTCCTTCATTACTTTTTAATGATGAATTTGTCTCAACAACTCGATTTAATGGCTGTTAAAAATAGCTGGGTTTGTAGTACGATTTTTGTGAGCATATCGCACACACACAGTAAGTAACAGGAGGAACCGTCAATGTTACACGACTAATCCTTCACCTGGTGTGCAACATATAAAAAAATTATTTTACAATATCAGATCATTCCGCTAGTACATGTTATGATTATAATCCCACACC